CCAAATCATAATATACGATAAAACAAAATAAAAACTCGACAAGTAAAAGAAACAATAACTAAAATAGATGCTAAATATTTTTGTTAAAACCACTGATCACTTCACATGGTCTATCTTCTTTTGTAAGTTTTAAACTTTTCAATGGATGACCATGTGTACTTTCAACTATTTTAAGTATCATTGTTGAACTAGGGTAACCTAAACGGTCATGCCATAAAGTCACAATTTCAGGATTTTCTTTTACTAGTAAATTGCATTCAATTTCATGTATATATGTATAATGTAATCCATAATGCAATTTTGGTAGTTTTTCTAAAGTTTTCTTCTTTCCCGAAACATTAGAAGTGATATTAATCTATTTCATATTACCTTTCGTTGTACTTTCGGTATCATATCCTTGACGATACATGTCATTTAAACTCAACAGATTTCTCTTTGATTTTGGATAATATAACGCATTATTAATGAAAAAATTTGTCCCATTTGGTAATATGAACGTAACATTACACTTCTATCAAATCTGCAGGACCTGAGATTGTATTTATTACACATTTAGTAGGATTTATTTTCGTAAAATATTTTTTACTTTTGAGGATTGTATGAGTAGTTCCACTGTCCAGAATGCAAATGTCTTTGACATGTTCCATGTCTAACCCTTATGAAATAGAAATGAGATTAAATGAAGATTAAATCAACAACATATTTAATATTATTATATTATGCAAACACAAGATACACATACAAATTCTTAAGATGATACATAGTCCAAATATAAAATTAATACAAGCACATCACTCATTATTAAAATAGTTATTTAATTCATTGTTCCTTCAATGAAATCAGCAGTCTCAAAATAGGTACTATCATTTATGGGTTAAATTTTATTAAAATTCACTTCTTTCCCCTTTTCCTCTAAAGATGCCATTTTTCTTTTACACAAATGTTCTTGTGTTCTACACACCTTAGACTAGTGGCCATTCTTTTCACATCTGTAGTATACATCTTCATAATTTCTCGAGGAACCTTCTTGGATATATTTACCCTTTCCTTGACGATTCCAATTGTTTTGGTCATATATGGGAGATCTATAATTATTGATATGACCTTGTCCACGTCCTCTACAACGAAAATAGTTTCGACTGTGGAAAATATTTTAGCCATGATATCTTTCTTGACAATGACCATCAAAACGAACACGACCATTATTACCATCAAAATGAGCATGAACACTAACGTCTTTTAAGATGATTAAAGCCACCACACCTACAATTAAAGATTGTGCCATTTATTTCAGGATATGCAATTGTCATGTGGGTCATGACTGGTGGTTTTTGTTAGTTATCTATTTTATGATGACATTAATTTTAGTAAAACAAATATAGCATCAATATGATTAATATAAAATTATAACATGTTGATCAAGAAGTCTTATTTTATGAAGAAATTTGTTAAGTTGAAATGTTTCATCAACTGAAGCAACGTGTCAGATGAGATGTCCTATGCAGAGTCATTCGACATCATGACTATGTTGGGCTGGGCTGTTGGATCGGTGGAAGATTTAATAGATGAAGAATATTCTAGGAATATTATGATATCCTATATGGTGCTGATTTTAAAGTATGAAAGATTCAAGCTGAAATCAATAAGAACATTAACTTTTTAATTATGGAGATAAATTAGGCAAGTCATGATTGAAGACCTATCTTTATGCAGAAGATTCTATAGGTTTGTGTTAGACTACGATATCGGATCTAGGGGAGGTGAATAGATCCTCAAATAAAAATTACCTTTCAAAATGATTATTTAAAACTTATTTGAAGAACAATGTTGAGCGGAATGATTTTGGCCTAGATCAATATAGTAGTCTAAACGAACCTAGTTATTGGAAATTCGGATATGCACGAGCCATATAGAATTAATCATAATGATAAAATCAACCAACATAATAATATCTCAATTAACCGTTTAATATTCAACACAACAGTTTCCTATTTCCAATGAAATCATATTAAAAATATAATATGACAATTTATCGAACATGTGGCGTGCAATCATTTTTCAAAATTTTCTTTGAGATTTGTTGATATGCAAAAGCACTTACAATCAAAGTGATTATAAGTTAATCAACAAGGAAACTTAAACTTTAATAATCAATTGATCAAACAACATATTCAACACATTGCATATAGAGAGTAAATGAAAGTAAGAGATAGAATATTGCAATTTTTCTTTGAGTTAAATAAGCTAAACAATTTGTCAAAACTTGGCGTGCAATCAAAATCTTAGAATTTTCTTTTGTGTTGTGTTGATATGAAAAATCACTTATAGTCCAAAGTGATTATAAACAACTCAACACCTAATTTAAAACAAAAACAGTTTCGGAAAATTCCTATGCGTTGATAAATTACTCAATGTTATTTGACAAATCAATGTATGGAGATTAAAGCAAGTAAAACAATAAAAGAAAAGAGATACAAGGATTTGTTTATGAAGTTCACCAATCGTCCTCGCTATGGCTACATCTCCCCCTAATTCCAAATTTGGAATTAGGATAATTTTTTACTTTGCAAAAGTATGGTTACAAGAGAAATGTTCAAGAGAAATACTACAAACCGTAATCGTTTGATGTTGATTCAACTCCTTCTCTTCTTTTGATCTTCAACAAGATCAAAACCGATAGATGCAACATATTCGATGCTTAAGTTAATTCCTTGAAAAGATTTCAAAAACTCCAAGGTTCCTTGCAAAGATTTCAAACACTCCAAGGGATTTTTCACTCGACTAAATCAGATTTCACACTATCAACACAAAATCACCGATGCTATCATCCAATTATTTCTACTTCCTTAAAAAGATTTCAAACACTCTAAGGTTCCTTGAAAAGACTTCAAACACTCCAAGATATTTTTCACATGGACGATTCCTTCTCGCACGAAAACCCCCAATTCAACAAATAATGTTGGAGAATAAACCCGATGGTTTTTCTGGATGAAGACCCCTACAAGAACTCAACCCAAACCAATTAGAAATCTTCAATTCTTTATCTAGATGACACCCGAAGGAAAATCATCACAATGTAATGTTGGTGTTTATGCATAAATTGGAAGGTTGAAGATGAAGAGAAAAAGTAGGCTAATTTTATGGTATTATCAAGTTAGAATGATGCATAAATGATATATTTATAGTTGGACTCTTTTTTAGGTAAAAGAGGGTAGTTTCGAAATGAAAAAATAATGAAAAATGATCTACAAAATAGTATGTGTCGACCTGAAAATGTTATGTGTCGACACATGTAAAACATTAGCTTTTTGCTTTAAAAATACAGTACATGTGCTGACCTGAAAATCATACATCTTAAGCTATGTGCCTGTGTTTTAAAGCAAAAATGCTGAAAGCTTTAATAATGCATTACATGTGCTGACCTAAAAATTGTACGTGTCGACCTATACTGAAGCTTTTAATAAAATGCAGAAATGCAGAATTTATGTGTCGACACATAGAAATTTCAAGTCGACACATAAGTGTTGATTTTGTACAAAAACCGATTTTTCATGATTGAGACCAATTTTAAAGTTGTTCTAAATGATTCCTAAGAACTCTAATGCAAGGGAGTGCCACAAGACATAAGGATACCGTCCACCATACTGAAATGCTAGCTTTCCGAGTTTTAACATCATGCAAAACATCTAATAGTGAAGTTGCACTCACAAACTTCCCATTTTTTATGAGGGCAAAACTTACGACGATGCATTTCATGTAGTTATTGAAGGCTCCCCTTAACTTTGTGTTTCCCATCTTCTCCCCCTCTGACAATATCAAAAAGAAGAAGGCAAATCGTGAGAAGTATCATATTCCAATACCAATACTAATATATCACACATAGGCATTTTTGCAAAGAAGAACATACAATTGCATATCTCCATATATATGTAATGATGCAAAAAAAAAAGATAACAAGCATAAAACATTATCAAACATGTAATGCAATTGCATGAATAATAATGAATGCGATGCAAGAGCAAGATAGTTAAGTTGCTTCTATAGCGTCATGATTTCGTAACACAACACAATGGAACTCCTGATGCCACACATGCTTATGCCTAGCATAGTGACAAGAACATGTCACTACTCAATCCAAAATAAAAATGTTGCCATAAAATGTGACACAACTATAATGTGAATCGTGCATGCAATTAACATGCTTACATTCAACTCATGCACGAATGCAAGAAATAATAATAGAAACACATACTTGTACATACAAGAACAAACTTATACAAATGTGAAAGAATTAATACATGAAGTCATTATAAGCATATACATTGAGAACACACAATAATTATCAATTAAAATTTTCGAAAATGAAACATTCATGGTTTTCATTATTTGAAAACATACAAATATTTTTCGTCAACTAAAATATGTACTAAGAGACTTGTTACTTTCAAGGAGAGATTTAGAAGAATATTACTTCACATTTGATGGAATGGAAGTTACACTCACATTATGTAAAATACTCAAACAAATTGTTAAAGAAAAATATAAAAGTACAAGCATCATAATAAAGAAAAGAAAAGAAAAGAAAAACGTAGAATAAAGGATAAAAATCTCACATTGTTTATCAATAAAAAAATAATTAAATTTATAAGAGGTAATCCATATTAGCTAAATGTGTTACAGTTTTACTTATAATTATTCATTTGAAAATATTATAATCTATAAGATAACAAATTTTAATCTATTAAGGTCCGTGAAAGGAAACAAGAAAGGAGGTAGGAAAGTGAATCCAAAACGAAAGGAATAAAAAAATAAAAAATAAATAAAACAATCCAAAACCATAAAAGGGTAGTGTTAGTTGTTAGCAATATAAATACCCTTGTTCATTCTTCTTGTTTCACTTCATTATTACAGCAAACTAATTAAACATCGAATTAGATCATAGATCTATTACCATTTCATCTTCTCGTTGAATTTGAAAATTTTCATCGATTGATTGGAAAATGGCGGGTGATTCTCAGCAGAATTGGGTAGTGATGGTTACGGCTCAGACTCCCACCAACATTGCTGTCATCAAGTATTGGGGTAAGCGAGATGAAACCCTAATCTTACCTGTCAATGATAGTATCAGCGTCACTCTTGATCCCACTCACCTTTGCACAACCACCACGGTTTCTGTTAGTCCCTCCTTTCAACAGGATCGTATGTGGCTCAACGGAAAGGTTCCTTTTCTTCTCATTTTACTCTTTAATTCTTCTTTTTTTGTAATTTCTGTTTTTATATGCATTTCTTGTATATTCGGATTGATGGAATTGGATGGAATGGAGTGGTATTTCATTGTTATAATGGATAAAGATGTTGTTTGGGTGTTTGTAGAGAATTTTTTGTTCTTTTACTTTCTGTTTTTCATTGGTGGAATTTGGTTTTGTTGGTTAGTGTAGGAGATTTCTCTTTCTGGGGGAAGATTCCAGAGTTGTTTAAGGGAGATTCGTGCCCGCGCTTGTGATGTTGAGGATGATAAAAAGGGTGTTAAGATCAGTAAAGAGGATTGGAGCAAATTTCATGTACATATTGCTTCCTACAACAACTTCCCCACTGCGGCCGGATTGGCTTCATCAGCTGCGGGTTTTGCTTGTCTTGGTATGCCCTTGATTATTATTTTTTAAATAAAATCTTTCGTTCAATACTTATCTATAAATTGCAAAACCCTTTGGTTATTCCATGTTATATAAATCGTTAGTTTATCATTTGTTTGAGCTCAGGGCAGGATGCAATGCAGGGGTTAATCCACCAAATCTGAAAACATGTTTTAACTAACTGAAAAAAGTTTATATTGCAAAACCCTTTGGTTATTCCATGTTATATAAATCGTTAGTTTGTGATTGATTCGTTGCTTTAGCTCGTTTAAGATCTAAATTAAACAGGTCATGGATTAGTTTTATAGTTGCATGATGAGACTAGAAATAGATTTGAGGATCTAGGAATTGTTTGAAGTAGGCACAATTCTATCATAGTGTATTAGCCCGACTGTGACAGAGAACGATAGGAAGAAAATTGGAGACAAGAGAACAATATTCAAATGCTATTATCTCATCATCCGAAACTAAGAAAATTGATTTCAACAATTTTCGTATCAATGTTTTTGTTACTCTAGAGCAAAAATGGAAAGGACAGTGACAATTAAACTTTGATCAGGAAAACAAAATGATTGGTAGTAGTGATAGTCATAGATCTCCACTGATATTGGTCTCAGGTAATAATTGGCCTGAATCACATTGCTTACTAGCCATAATCAAGGGGTAAAGTACTGAGTTATCAATAAGTAGTCAATGAAAGAAGTATTGCTATAAATTAATCAGTTACACATTCAATATTCTACCATGTAGATTTTTTTTGCGGACAAACAGAGTTACTTGTTCAGTGTTGCATGTTTAATGTCTTGTGGTTTGGATTCATAGAGGACCTTATTCTTTATTCAATAATTTTTTGGAATATTTCTTCAAACTTTATATCCTTTAAGGTGTTATACACAAATGTTCAATCTTATTTTTTGTTCTGTCTAATGCAATTCATCATAAGTTTCATGCTTTCTTAGCATGTTTATTGGTTCTTATTAATTTTATATAAGGCTTTTATATTAGTCATCATATTTCTTAATGACTTCTGTCTTCTGTTTTACAGTTTATGCCCTTGGGAAGCTAATGAATGTCAAAGAAGATGAAAGCCAGCTATCTGCTATTGCAAGGTTTTTCTTTTCTTTATGGCTTTAAATTTGCAAGGTGTTATGGCTTGGGTTGGACACTTGTTTTTTGACTATATATTTATCAATTCCGGATATTGTCACTATATACAGGCAAGGATCAGGCAGTGCTTGTCGCAGCTTATTTGGGGGATTTGTCAAGTGGATAATGGGAAAAGTAAGTTTTGTTTCTTATTTTACTTCATAGGGACATTAAATCATCCAAAAATCCATCTGTAATTTATATTTTGTTGATGTTAGGAGAAGAATGGAAGTGATAGTCTTGCAGTTCAACTTGCTGATGAAAAGCATTGGGATGAACTTGTTATTGTTATTGCCGTGGTATGCCATTTTTAGTCTTCATTTTTTAATGGATTAATTCGTTGTTCAGTTTTGACTCTTAATATATTTCAGTAAAACTGGTATGTCATGGTCATTTTTTAATGTAAAGCTCTAGAATGTGCTGATGGCCAAATGCCAGCTGTGCTAGATTTCCACATCAAATTTTTTATTTTCCTAAGCAATATCTTTTATCTTGTAAATTGTATGTTACCATTTCACGCAAGCACTATCGTATTGACACTATAGTATTATCTCATATCATACTTTGCTCAATATTCCCATCTCATTATTTATTTCTAGGTTAGCTCTCGGCAAAAGGAAACAAGCAGCACCTCAGGAATGCGTGAGTCTGTTGAAACAAGTTTGCTTTTACAGCACAGAGCAAAGGTAGTACAAATGTTTCTCTCTCAGATAGTGTGAATTTAAACGCGGCTGTTAATTCTAAATGTTTGAAAGTTGTGTGCTTTTCTTTGTCTTTGTTATATAAACAACTATGTCCATGTCTTTTTCTCATTTGAACCACAACAGGAAGTAGTGCCAAAGAGGATACTGCAAATGGAAGAAGCCATTAGAAACCGTGATTTTGCATCTTTTTCACAACTCACCTGTACCGATAGCAACCAGTTTCATGCAGTCTGTCTGGATACGTCTCCCCCTATATTTTACATGAATGATACATCCCATAGGTAGGGTCTGATAACTGACAGTAATTTATGACTATTATGTTTTGTTTTATAAGATCACAAGTATGACACATTTCTTTCCTAATTTATCATCAACTATTCTATTTCATTTCAGGATAATCAGCATTGTTGAAAAGTGGAACCGTTCAGAAGAAGCTCCCCAGGTTTGAATTACTATTCTATTTAACTTCCTATGGTCTTTTATAATAACCGATTGCGTTTTCAAAACTTTCTTACTAATTTCGAGCTCAAACGTTATAAACCAATATTTCTAATCATGCTTCAGAACATACTAAGGCTAGTTTTGAAGCGCAGGTAGCTTATACGTTTGATGCAGGGCCAAACGCGGTTCTAATTGCACGTAACAGGAAAGCTGCTACCCTTTTGATTCAGAGGCTGCTTTACTACTTCCCTCCAAACTCGGATGACCTCGACAGGTGCTTTTAAAGTTTTGGTAGTTTCCTTTCATGCATATACTATTCTTAGATTTTTGTCAATCTCTTGAATTTCTTCACTTACACGCAAAATTCTCCTTTCTCCAGTTACATTATCGGTGACAAGTCACTTGCCAAAGACGCTGGGATCAACGGAATACAGGACATAGAAGGTTTGCCAGCACCCCCAGAAATTAAAGATAATATTCCATCACAAAAGTACAAAGGGGATGTCAGTTACTTTATATGCACCAGACCAGGAAAGGGACCTGTTCTGCTTACTGATGACAGTCAAGCTCTTCTCAACATTGAAAATGGACTTCCCAAATAAGGTTCATGGGAATATTTCCCATGGTTGATCTATTCTTCATCGGGCTTTTTATCAGCCTGAGATATTTTTCTTAGAGGTCCCGTTCAAGGAAGCCTGTGGTAACCATGGCATGATTATTTATGTTGATTCCAAGTTCGCAATTTGTGTTTTTCATTTATATATCTGTAGTTCTTATTTTCAAATCTAGTTAGTCTATTTTCCGAGAAAAATAAATCTCGTTCCTTTCCTGTATTGAATTAAGCCCTGTAGTTTAATTCACCCGAGCTTCCAAGTTCAATTTGTCAGCTTTTATGTGAACGATTTCTTTACTTTTTTATTTTATTTTGATTAAGAGCTCTATTTACTTGCATCTTAGTTGGCTGAAAAGATGCTCATTTTCCTAATGGAGTAGAACCACCCCATATCTAACACTTTGTTCAAACCTACACATAACAGAATTTAGCAGCCAATCGTTGTTTTGCAGAATAAGTTCATGCATTTCAACATCATAACTTGAGACCAATAGAGAACATCAATCATCATCCTTTCTGGTATGGTATGTTAATAGGGTAGACATATTTCACCCTCACATTTCTGTTTAGCTAGCTGCTCCATCAGTGCCATTAATCTCTTGAGGAATCTGGTTGGTGATGGAAAAACTTTATTCCAATCATCAACACATGATGTTTGGTAGACAACCATCAAGATTTGTTTTCCTGTTCATTGCTCAAGGCACTCTCTAGTGTCAGGCTGAATTAAGCAACACATCACATAAAAACTTGGATGAAAATTCTCTGCAAACTGGTTAAAATAATACTCATAATTACTATAATTTCAAGAAACCACAACATAGCTGCAACTAAAACATACACATATAGGACCAGCTTTCAGTAATCATACTAATAATAGTGATAATTTCACCTGCACGTTTATAAAGATTCTCTATAAAAAAGAAAAAGAAAAGCGTGTTTGCTACAAACATGATTCAATCAATGAATGTCAATTAGTAAAAGTAACATATTTGCATGGTCCACGACACCGTAAGTCATGCCTTCATCAAACAAACACTTTTCATCAACACAACAAAGTAAAACTCCTTTCTATATTACAAAAACTCATTCACACCTAAAACTATCTTGAGCTAATTCCATGGCAAAACCAAACCTTCATTTCTTGTCATTTTTATTCTTCTTTGCCGCCTTGCTAGCCTTGTTTAAGTGCACATTATCACTGATTAATCCAGAAGATGTTCCTAGTTGGCTTGCACTGGAAGAAACTGAAGAAGTCAACATGGTGCAAACCCAAAGAGATTCATGGAAGAAATGTGATTTCTCAGTTGGAAAATGGGTTTTTGATCAAACCTATCCTCTCTATGATTCCAACTGTCCTTATCTTACAACTGCAGTTACTTGTCAAAAGAATGGGAGGCCAGATTCTGATTATGAGAAATGGAAATGGAAGCCATTAGGTTGTTCTATCCCAAGGTAATGATGAAGTATTGTTCACATTTCTACCCTTTAATTTGTTTTCTTATATTATTGAATATCATAGAAGTGTTGATGTTATTTTGACATGATCGAATATCGGAGTCGTCTTAAGTTTTCAGAACCCCTGTATATATTAGTCACAACTTAACTTTGACAAAACAATTAGCCGTCCTATTTTGCCACAATTTAACCTTGATAAATATTTTATAAGGCTAACCGGTCAAATTTCGAATCCTGTTCAATAGCCTGCTTTGCACGACATTGATTCTGAATTAGAAATGATTTCGCCTTCAAAATTGTTTATATTTGAAGTAGGAATTTGAAATGTTTGTCTTTAAAATTGATTTTTAGTTTCAAATTCATTGTTTAATCAATAAATTACTTTATATTCAATTCAATTTTAAGCGGAATCAATATTTGTCGACGTTGAACCAAACATTCACAAACTCTATTGATAAATTTGGCTTCTTGATGACATTTTCAGGTTTGATGCACTGAGGTATCTTGGTAAAATGAGAGGAAAGAGAATAATGTTGGTGGGTGATTCTATAATAAGAAACCAATGGGAATCTCTTGTATGTTTGGTTCAAGGAGTTATTCCAACTGACAAAAAAAGAGTGACATATAATGGTCCTTTAATGTCTTTCCATGCTATGGTATGACATTAATCAATCTTCTTATCCTTAACCTTTGCTTCTAAAATTGATTAACTTACTTACATTATATGTTTATTTAAAGGATTTTGAAACATCAATTGAGTTCTTCTGGGCACCATTGTTGGTGGAATTGAAGAAAGGTTCAGATAATAAGAGAATTTTACATTTGGATTTGATCGAAGAGAATGCAAGGTATTGGAAAGGAGTCGATATTCTTGTATTTGATTCAGCTCATTGGTGGACTCATTCTGGTCAAACAACCTCGTAAGAAATATTTATCAATCTTATGAAAATAACCTATGACATATTATAGACACTATATACCACTGAGTCTTAATTGACATCAGGTGGGATTACTACATGGAGGGAAATAGTATCATCACAAACATGAATTCAATGGTTGCATATGAAAAAGGACTCACTACATGGGCAAAGTGGGTGGATCTAAATTTAGATCCTCGAAAAACCCAAGTCGTTTTTAGAAGCATGTCGCCTAGGCACAACAGGTACTATCAATTTCTTAAATTATTACAAGTGTCTATCTATTGATGTTGTATTTATTATCTATGTCACTGTCTCGTACAACAATTAACAATTAAGTCTTATTCTATTAAGGGAGGTCTAATACATAGGTCAACTTTCATCATATTATTCTACCATGTTGTGTCACTGCTTCGTAGATTCAGACAAATTGAAATTATCAATGACATATCTGAACACATTTGATATTTATGTAGGCAAAATGGTTGGAAATGTTACAATCAAAGACAGCCATTACAATATTTCAGCCACTTACATGTTCCTGAACCACTAGTAGTGCTAAAAGGAGTGTTGAAGAGAATGCGGTTTCCGGTATATCTTCAAGATATTACAACTATGACAGCTTTTAGAAGAGATGGACATCCTTCAGTTTATAGTAAGGTGATAAGTGAAGTAGAGAAGAAGAAACAAGGCTCTGATTGTAGCCATTGGTGCCTCCCTGGTGTGCCTGATATTTGGAATGAGATGCTGAGTGCATGGCTGTAACTACAACCGGTTTTTAAAAAGCAGTCCATCGCGGTTATCTTAATGTTTTCGTGATTTCGATCGTACAAGTATCACGATATTGATTGAAGCTGTCGCTGTCTGAATTAACTATAATTTATTCTTTAAACGATGGTAATAGTATCGATATCGATATTTGTGATATTATTTTTATAATTGCAGACCGTTTTTTAAAACTCAGTCCGCTGTTGAGTTGGTTTACTTTTTAAATTATTATCTAGAGTAGTTTATGATTAATTCTGCAAGACGAGATTTAGATAGTGAATTGTGTGACTATAAGCGATCAACTATATTTATATTTAAATTGTTTGGCCAAGATTAAATATTTAGATTTTAATTTATTTTTTAATTATTCGGTCAATATTAAAATTTCTAAACTTTATTTATTATTTTTAAATATAAAATATATTTCCTCATGCAAACGTGAAGTCACAAAGTTATGAATATATACATAATCTAAATCGTGCTATAACATGGTTGCTTTGAGTGTCTTCTTTATCATTAATGTTACATGATATAACATTTTTTTATTGTCATTTTGATTTCCACATGCAACCAAAACTTAATACAATTTTTTTATTTGTCAAATTTTTATTCTGGTATATTAATATGATTGAACAATCTAATTCTTAATTGATAATAAAAAATTCTTTTTTTTTTTAATCTAAAATTGCAATGGAAGTGTTCGATAACTCTGGTACTATATATAATTCTAGCACTGCAATACAAATATTAAGATTGACGTTCTAACACCAATACAATATCAAGACAAATGTTATGACATCATATGCTAACATAAAATACTTGCTAAATCTGGAGATTGTGCAAGAGATAAATTGCAGAAAATTAAACAATACAATCAATTGTTAACCCAGTTAGGTGCAACGTCACCTACTCTGGAGCTGCCAAGTCAGGAAGGAAATTCACTATGATGGTATTAGTTAAAAGCCTAAACAACCTTATTTTACAATTTCTCGCCTAATCACTACCTTGTGCAATTTCTACCTAGACACTTTCTAGATATGAAATCTCCCTCTCACTTCCAATCACCTCAGTGATACCTTCAGTCACACACTTATGACTAGAATCAAAAGAACTAAATAGAAGATTACACTTCAAATAAACAATACTTAGTTTTGTTTAAAATTTTAACTAAGAACAATACTCAACTCTTTTCTTAAAAGCTCATGAGTGAGAACAATCAGTCAACCTCAAGGTATCAAAAGATACGTTAGTGACATACAAAGAACAAAAACACTAAGAACTTAAAAGACTTCAAAAACCCTAAACCCTTATGTTACACGCATAATTTATTCAATGTGAATGCTTACTATTTTAGGTTTAACAAGTCCTTATTTATAGACTCTTGCATAATGGGTTTGGACTCTTCAAATCAAATACAATCTTCTGTTTTAAATCAGCTGCAATATCTTCACATAAAAATAGGAACAAATCTTCAAAGTTTCATAAAAAGTCTTCAAGATCTTTTTATGAAATCAAATTAAATTCGCACTTGTTTCTAGTAAAATCTCTTTTGACATGTGCAAAATAATGAGATATATCCAAAAGGATCTCTCAAAAACAAATCAAATATGTCAAGAAATATAACTGTAGCGTTTGTTGTATAATAAGCCAAGATATCAAGACATCTGACTCAACATCTATCTAATATACATGACAGTAGAACCTGTCATGACAATTGATCAAGATGTTGTGGCATCTTGCTCAACATCAGTTCAGAAATATATTTTAGCTAATTTATGTCAAACCAAAAACTATGATATATATATATATATATATATATATATATATATATATATATATATATATATAT